ATTCCAGATAAGTTTGAAATTTGCCACTCTCATCCCACCGTACTTTCATCTTAGGATGGGTTGGCTCACTGGCCAATAGAAAAATGTTTGGAGAAGTTGCGCAATCATTGGCCCTACTAGCAAAGGAGCTTTGCACTTTAGGACTGGACCAGCATTTGGATGGAGCAGGGAACTGAGCTGCTTCAGTTATGTGCAAGCACTTCTGGGTGCCTGCACTTTATGCCTTCATTCAGTCACTTTAAGGTCTGTATTTCACTGATCAACTCGGGAACATTGGGGAAAATGCATGATTGCGGCATTAAGTCCTGGTTCACACCTAGGCGTATTGCATATGCACGTCTGTCGCGCGTTTTTTTACTGCGATTCACGGTAAAAAAAATTGCACGATAAAACGCGCGTTTCCGAGGGCTACTTGGCTGTATCCCAATGGAAACGCGCAACAAAAACGGCCCAAAGTAGTATATGTACCTTTTCAGGCGTGGGCCGTTTTTGTAGCGTGTTAGGGACGGGTGGAAATACGCCAAGGTGGGAACCAGACCATTGAATACAATGGGATTTATATTTTTGAGTGTTTTGTAGAGCAATCGTCGAACGTAGAACGCGCTACAAAACGTTCAGGTGTGAACGAGGGCTTAGAGTGGGTGCTGAAACTAAAGGCAATAAGAAAGGTGTGTGGTGGGATCTCTCCAGCAGAACAAGAGCTCTTAAAAGTCTTGCTGATCAACACTGTCATTCTTCAATGTGGTCAAACGTATAAATGATGTTGCATAAAAACTGAGCAAACTCCGGCAAATTATTGCGCTGTGTTTCTCAAGTACCGAAAAATATATTCTTTTTAATGGTTGCGATGGGTAGACCTACCCACCCTTCAAAAAGTTGTCATTCTGAAACCAAATTCGTGTCTGCCCCTCCCTAGCTGTACTAAAAATTGTGCTTCACAGCTCCCAACACAGGCATGCTCCTGGTTAGCTCGTGCCTGTGTGATATTGCTTCACACAGGCATGTCTTAACCAGGAGCACCAGAATCGGTCC